TAAAGTTCTTTATAAAAAAAAAAAAGAGAAGAAAAAAAAAGAAAATGAAAAAAAAAATGAGACTCTCTCCTTTCCTTTTGATCACGTATAATATGGGATCTATGTAGATGAAAGTGGAGAAACGATGAAGATCTAAAGATGTAAGAGTACATATGTGTATGTGGCAGTAGAAGAGCGTGGCTTCATTTGCTGGTTAGTTATGCTAATATCGACTTATAAACCCTTCATTACTGTGAGCAATTAATACGCTCTGGTTGATCCTAGTCCAGCGGTGCTAATGCACTTCGATGTCTCTTAATTACACGCTGACAGTGAATCTTTTCAATATCGATCAGCGAATAAAAATCTCATATTGTATATATATATAACTTTGAAATCTTCAACTTCTTTTCAAGTTAATTTTTAATTTTAATTATATTTAATTGTTTTACATAAATTTTTTTTTGCATTTTTGAAAATTAATAGCAAATTCTAGAAAAAATTTCATTTTTATAAGATGAAATTCAATTTTTATTTTTAAAATTTCAATATAATAATAAATATTATTATATTGAAATTTTAAAAATGAAAATTTTAATAAATATAAAAATTTTACTATTATTGAGAAAAATAATTGGAAAAGTTTTCTATTAAAATAATTTTACTATTATTTATTTTTTCTTTTGATTTTTTAAAAATTCTGAATTTTCTTTTTACGCTTGCAGCGTATACATGACGAGATCGGTGGTTAACCGCGATTTCCTAGATCGAGATCGTTACTTTTTTTTGCGGTTATTGCGCGAAACTAAAAAAGAAGAAGTCTCAAAACTATATCGTAATATGAATCTATTTTGTCGTTACATGGAGAAAAATTTCCAATAAAATTTTATATATATATATATATATATATAGAAAAGTAGGTGCAAAAATATCTTTATACGGAAAAGAAAATAAAAATATCTAAAAGTTGTTTTTTAGAGAATATTTCAAAAAATTTTCATATAAAAATTTACAACCAAAAAAATGTTTCTTTGAATGAAAGAAATCACAGAAAATTAAAAGGCATTAAAATAAGCTGCAACGCTTCTTATTTTAATCCAATTTTGCTTATTTTAATATCAAAATGGATTAAAATAAGCAAAATTGGATTAAAATAAGAAGCGTTGCAGCTTATTTTAATGCCTTTTAATTTTCTGTGATATTTCTTTAAATTAAAAAAATGTTTTTTAATCAAATAAATCTTTTAAATTAAAGAAAACTTTTCTTTTCAAAATTCGAACACTATTAATTATTTTAATGATTGAGAATTAGCGAAGGAAATATATTTTATAAAAATGTCTCTCTCTCTCGAGATAAAAAAAAAAACCAATTATAATCCCGGAAATATAAACTTTGATTTTCATTTAAAAAAATTAATTATTTTTCACGCACTAATAATTTTATTTCATTAAATCATTAGTAGAAATTTTTCTAATTTATTAACATTTAAAGAAATTAATGAATTAAAAAAAAAAAAATGCAAAAGAGGAAGATCGTAAATAAGAGATGAATAAAAAGTCAAAAGAGGAATGGGAGTAACATTTACGTATATATATATATATATGCAGATATACATAATGAAATTGCAATCCATAAATAACGTAAATTGATGTTAAAACAGTTGCGTGGCATGACGACGAAACGTTGAATGCTACTCTTCGTGTCGGAAATGAGCGATGAGCCTATTATACAGCAGAAGTCGTGCCTCCGTGCAACCGGTGCTTTATTTCGGTGCAGATTCCGTGTATATCTTTTCTGAAAGAAAGCAAAAGAAAAAAAAAAAAAAAAAAGAAAGAAAAAAGAGAGAAAAAGAGAAAAAAAAAATTGGAAAGAAAAAGAGAAACGAGTGGAGGATCGAATCGGAGCGAAGCAAATGGAACGCATGGCGTGGCATGCCATGGTGTGGTTGGAAAAGAGTTGATCTGGTTAGGTGGCTTTGCTTCGTTCTCCAGCTCGACGCGACCGGTCGTAGAGGTGAGAGAGGCGCACGACGACCTCGACAGCCAGGGCGTGGCAGGTCACTCTCTATATATACGCACTCACACACACACAAACAAGCTTTTGCCACCAGATTCTTCAATTTCCTTTCCACAATATTTTCTTCGCAATTTATTATTTTCACAAAATAAAATAAAATAAAATTTTGTTACAAAAATTAGAAAACAAAATTAAAATTAAAAAACAAAATTAAAATTAATAAACAAAATTAAATTTGAAAAAAAAATTTAATAATATACAATGAAAAAAAATTATTTGTTTCAAATGAAAGATAAAAATTACTTGGGAAAAAAAAATCTTTATCTGAAACAGCTATATTTTTATCTAGAATAGCGAAAATTTTCCCTATTTTAGTGAAACATTTCGCTGTTCCAATGAAACTTATTGCTATTTCAGGTAAAGATTTTTTTTCCCCTTTATCAAATAAATATTTACCTAAATAATTTTTAATTGTATTAAATAAACTCTATTTTTGAAAGCAATAATTTCGTAGCGCATATTTATCCCATAAAAATAGTTAAAAAAAGAATTTTATTGTACATAATTATTTTTTTAAACAAATTTTCATTTTTTAAATTCGAAGGAATTTATTTTCAAACGAATTTTTAAGTAAACAAAAATTCTTAATTAACGAATTTTTAATGTAGTGAATTCATAAAAGCGACGAATTTTTTTTTTATTTGTCCGAAATTATAAATGACCGAATAAATGCGATTTTGATATAAAATTTTTTTTAAAAAAATTTTTGGCGTTTAAAATTTGACCAATCAGAAATTATTCAAAAAAAAAATCGTGATTGGTGAATTTTGAAAATTTCTGCCGAATTTTTTCTGTTATATTTATCCCATAAAAATAGAAAATAATTTTATTGTACATAATTATTTTTTTAAACAAATTTTTCATTTTTCAAATTCGAAGGAATTTATTTTCAAACGAATTTTTAAGTAAACAAAAATTCTTAATTAACGAATTTTTAATGTAGAGAATTCATAAAAGCGCCGAATTTTTTTATTTGTCCGAAATTATAAATGCGATTTTGACGTAAAATTTTTTAAAAAAAATTTTTGGCGTTTAAAATTTGACCAATCGTTCAAAATAAAAAAAAAATCGTGATTGGTGAATTTTGAAAATTTGTGCCGAATTTTTTCTGTTAATTTTTTGTTCGGACAAATTAAAAATTCGATACATAAATTTTTATTTGATAAAAATGGTGGTATAAAAATTCTGTGTATTTTCGTTTAAAAAGCGAAATTCTAATTCGAAAAACCAAAATATCTAAAAAATAATAATTCTTTAAAAAATTCTATCTGTTTAAATTTTTTTTTTTTTTTTTTTTTTTTGTAGCGGAAATTGAAAAAAAATTATTTGAAAAATGATTGAATCAACAAGAAAAAAAAAAGTCGATATGATTCTTTTCCCGCAAGTATATATATATATAGGATGTGACAAGAATTGAGAATAGAGGTCAGAAATTTTTCGAGCTGTAAGAACCAGTTGCTTTTTAGAGAATCAAATATCTTTCTCTCTCTCTCTCTCTCCTCTCGAGAGATGTGCTCCAGCAGTTTTCTTATTTTCGAAGAAGGTCGACCATGTTTTTATTAGAGGCAATCTTTAATGGTCGCTAACCCGAAAACTTTGCCAACCAGAACTTTCTCAGGATTCTTTTATATATATATATATATATATATTATGGATTTATGTCTTGAATTTCAATCGATTTTGCGTGAGAAGATTTTAGAATTTAAAACAAATAAAGACGCGCAGGGCAAGAAGAAAATAATTAATTTTTTTATGTATGAAAATTTTTTTATAAAATATATTTTTATTATTAATATATTATATAATAAAATAAAAATAAAATAAAAATAAAATAAAAATATAATAAAAATAAAATAAAAATATAATAAAAATATAATTAAAATATAATAAAAAAATATAATAAAAATATAATATAAAAATATAATAATAATATAATAAATTAATTATTTTAGATTTTTATTTTGAAATCTAATTTTTTTTGAAATTCTTATTTTGTATATATATAGTTGCGTTTATAATATTGAGAAAAGATATATAATAATTGATACAGAGAGTCTGAATTGCATTGCCCTTAGAGAGTTTGGAACTGGGTGGAGAAAATATAGGTTGTCTTCTGGTGGGTCGAGCCATGGTCGCCCGCGGCGCAACACGTAGAAAAGATATATTCTTCGCAAATGCAGCAGCAGCTGCAGCTGCTCTCGACACCAGTTGAAGATTCGCTATATTCCATAAAGAGGATCAGAAAAACGATTTGTTAACAAAAAAAAAAAAAAAAAACCAACAAATTCATGTTCGTGTATCGATAAATTCAAAAAAAATTTTTTTTTTCGAATTTGTCCCACGAAAAAAAAATAATACAATTCTCTTTATTAAATATTGATTATTTTTAATATTATTTTTATTGTTTTGGAATTTCTATTCTTTTTTTCTTGTAAAAACTGATTGCGAAACATCACCCGAAGGAACACATTTTTTTTACTATGTAATTTAAGGTCATTATATACTCACATTGTTGAAGTATACCCTTAAGGCGCGTGGATTAGTTCTGAAAGTATTTTTTTTTTAAATAGAATATAAAAGGAAATAATTTTTTTTTTTTTACATTTTTGTTGGAAAATGTAAATAAAGAAATGAGATTAAAAAAAATAACAATCTTGGAGAATCAAAAAGAGAGAAACGCGTGCTGAAGAGAGACCGGTTAGTGCCTCGTTGTTGCGTGTTGAATTCGCATTACAGTCTGAATATTTCATTCATAAAATGGTGCTGAACCTTGAGTACACTCACAATTACCTTCTCTACCACTTCATACAACTTTCAAGCTGTGAATGAATCGTTTTTCCGTTACATTCTTTTTTTTCATTAAACAATATTTGAAAAAAAAAATAATTTTTTCAATCAAAAAAATTTTATTAAAATTAAAAATAACAAAAAATTTTTTTTTGCAGAATTTTCGAGAAAATCGAATTGACGGAGCGTCATTGCCTTTATTGTCAGAGGAACATTTGACGGGACCAATGGGAATGAAATTGGGTCCAGCGTTAAAATTGAGAGCATTATTGGCAAGAAAATTGGGAGCCTGTACAGTGTGTCTTCACTGTGCTCATTGTCATCAAACGCCACTTCCGGCGCTTAGTGTAGCCGCTGCAGCAGCCGCAGCGGCAACCGCAACGCAAACGTCTGGTAGACGGCCCAGCAGTACCGGAAACTGACAAACAATGGCGGAGACTCCAATTGGGTCCGAATTAACGGAATTAACATCAGACCCAAATCGAGCTCTTAGGATAGAACGACGTTTTCCACGACCGGTTCGCAAACCGGATGTTGTCTTCAAAAAGCCAATAAAGCAATAATAATGATTCTTATCCTAAGAAAAAAAAAAAAAAAAAGTCTCTAATTTGTAATTTAAAAAAAAAAAAAAGGAGACTCCGCCGTCAGTACCTAATTTGAAATAAGTCTTTATTGATTTGTGCCTGATTCTTCTCTATTATAATTAAAAAATTATATATATTGAAAATGGTACTTAAGAGTAAATTACCAATTTTTTCGATTATATTTACCGCGTGACGCACGTACAAAATACTTTCATTTTCTGTGATTTATTTCTATTTTTGTCACAGAATTAAATTTACAAAAAAAATTAAGTAAAAAATATTCTCTAAATTTCAATTAATGAAAATTCGTTCACTAATTCAATTTTGATGTTTCAATGAAAAATTTGGTTTTTTAAAAAAAGTATTCAATTCCTAAAAATGGAAATTTCCAAATACTAAAAATAATATTTTACTTTATTAGTAAAAAAATTGCTACTTATTTGCAATAAAAAATTCTTACCAAATATTTTACATAAAAAAAAAATAATGAAAATTTTTTTTAGTAAAGTAAACGAATTCCCACTAATTCAAATTTTAGAGTACAATAAATTCTGAGACAATGTGATTAAAAAAAAAAATACGACTGTTATTTTTGTCTACCTTTTCAATATTTATTGCTATAAATAATTAATTAATAATTCATATTAATAATTCATAATCGCATATTATCTTTCTCTATACTTTTTTTTTAAATATACTTTTAGTTTAAATATTGACTGATAATTATAAAAATATTCATTATATTTATATTTCATCACATTTTTGAATACTCAATTATATTTAATCGCAGAAAAACTAAATACTCACGTACGTTACGCGGAAATGAGGTAGAAGAAACTCTTAGTTACCTACCTAAAAAATTGACAAAAAAAATTTTTTTGAAAGAATGTGTGTATAAATGAAAAATGGTGAAAATGTATCTAAATTTAAAGAAAAAAAAAAAAAGTGCAATAAGTTATATCACTTGTGAATGGAGTACTACTGTTTTAGTTCATAAAGTAACATATGTAATTATATACACAATTTGCTCAAGTCGTTGTTTCTTTTACATATTTTAATTAAGTTTTTATAATTATTAATTTTTTTCGGATAAAATTCAAAACATATATATAGATAATAATTGATTAAAAACCAATCAGACAATAAAATATCATTTTTTTTTTTTATAATGTTTTGTTTCTGTTTTTTTTGCAAAAATTTATAAACTTAGTTTACTGTGTATACAATATTAACTATATATTATTTTCAATTGTAACAAATTTATTTATTTAAAATGTTAAACGTTGCTTTATTCATAACAGAATTAAAACATAATATTAGTGTTTAATTTGTGCTGAAAAAGTACAAAAATAAAAAATAATAGTGCGCCAAGTGAGAGAAATAGAGTGACAATTATATATTATCAATTTGCAAATTTCAAATCGAGCAGTATTTTTAGAATTATGTACATTAGCCTGAAAAAACTTTACTTATAAAATGAAAAATGTGCGCACAATAAAAAAAAAAGTCAGCGAAATCTTGTTAATAAATACTAATTGATAAAACAAAATTAATGTAAAATATTTTTTTGAAACTATATAGAATTGTAAATTTTTTATTAAAATATAAAAATCAATTTATGGAATTAAAAAAAATTGTGCGAAACTATAGCGGCTCGGTACTTGTGTACATACTGCTTAGGCATTTATTTATATTTGCGCTTCTATGTGAAGAGATTTTTTTTTAGTATTTTATTTAGAATTTTTAGGCTAAATATAGAAAATTTAAAGAAAATAAGAAACGTGCGGAATGAATGTATGAAGTGTTGCGGCTATTTTGTGATAATTCTTTCTCTATCATTATTTCCTTTTTATTTTCCGCTCTTATCTTTCTCTATTTTTTTTTTTTTTTTTATAATTTACTTTCTTTTTTTGCATTTTTTTTTTAAACTGGTCTTCGCAAATTTGTCGTGTATTACTTTTTATGATTAACGATCATATTTTTATGTATAGTAGAAATTAATGGTGAAAAGAGAAAACACAATATACATACTTTGTTTCTGTTAAAAAATAAATTTGTTGAAAAATACATACATGTATTTATTTCTTTTCCAGACAAAAAAAAATGCATCTTTTTTTTTTTAAATAAATTCTTCCTAGTGATAAATAAATTATTCTCTTATCTGAAAAATAAAATATTATTTTAGAAAAAAATAGAGTAGAATATTTGTGATTCTTTTTTTTTACGTACATTTATTTGAATTGCAAGAACACCATCAAATTCATTGTGTTTTATTGTTATGTGAGCGTTACCATTTTCAACATGAATTTTTTTTCCCGTACATTTACCATTAATTAAATCACCTGAAATAATGTCACAATAAACGCCATTTGGAAGGCAAACATGAAGTATTTTATCTAAATCATGTTTCTCTAAATTAATTGCAATAAATCCAGAATTTCCACGACAAAAGCTAATTTGATAATTTCCATTATCCCACCAGGATTCAATTTTTGTTTTATTTACTGTATTACGAAATTTCACCATATTATAAATTTCACGCCAACGATGTTCACAAATCCAACCATTGCCACATGTGTTATCTGCTTTTATATCAGGCGATAAAATATTTTCATTCTTATCAGTTGGTGGTCCACTATTAAAATCAGTAAAACTAAAAGAACTCATTACACGAGGAATGCCATAGGTGTGTGCCAACATAAATGCAACAGCAACCTGTAATTTTATTTTTTTCGAATTATATAAATGGAAAAATTATAAAATATTGAAACAAAAAAAATAAATTAAAGAGAATGAACCTTATATAATTTTGAGTCTTTGTATGTTAAAACAGAATTAGTATTTCGTTGAGTATCGTGATTATCAATAAAAACTAATGCATCCTTCGATGGTAATAGTGACCATTGTTCACCCCAATTAATAAGCCATTTTAATGGATTATTTCCTTTAATTGCATTACTTAATTCCGCCCCATATTTAAATTCAGTAACAACTGCCATTTCATTGTATTCTCTTTTTGAAATAATTTCCGAACCATAGTCAATTACTTCTTGATAAATAAATGGTCGAGAATTTTCTTTAAATCCAAAATCGGTGGGTAAATTTTTTAATTTTGAATAAATTTCTTTGAGATCCTTTGGCCACATATGTTTTGCAGCATCAATACTGGAAAAAAATTCTTTTTCTTAAAAAACCAATATAAGGAAATAAAAAACAAAAACTTACCGAAATCCAGCCACTCCAGCATCAATAGCAGAATTCATAAAATCAATCATTTTATTTCGAACATAATCCTGTGATTGATCTAAATCATGTAAACCAACAAGTTGACAATTTCGTACATTTTTTGGATCCGTATAATTATTAACATCGCATTTTGAATTAAAATTATTCCTCCTATACGGTACAGCTGGATAGTAAAAATTTTTTGTATCAGCCGTTGAACCACCAGTTCCTAAATTTGTTGGTTGATCACCGCTCATATGATTTAATATAATATCAACATAAATTCTCACTCCGGCATTATTACATTTTTGTAGCATATTTTTAAAATCATTATCATCTCCAGATCTTGTTTTCCATTTATAACTTATCGGTTGATAACGCTCCCACCATGGTCTATTTGTGACGATTACATTTTCTTGAATTGGTGAAACCTAATATAAGTTTAGAAAAAAAAAAAAAAGAAGAAAACGTTAACAGAATAAGGTAAAAAAAAAATTAATTTTTATTATATTATTAATATTTTACCTGTACTCCACCAAAACCAATTGGTCCTAGGAATTTTTCACATTCATCAGCAATATCTGACCATTTCCATTCAAAAAGATGAACCATTGTATCATGGCCTTTCACATAATGAGGATTATGATAAGCCATCACTAATTTTGAAAACACCAATATTGATAGAAACAACATTTTTATAAAAATGAAGACAAATTTTTTATTGTCAATGAAATTTATATATGAAATTATTGACCCAATTTTCATTAATTTGTGAAGTACTGCAGGAAAATAATAATTTTCTGCATATTGACCTTACATCAACGATATCTAATCAAGAAAAGTTATTATCTTTTTTTGCGCACTTAAGCTCTACTGCAATCTTGTAATTAATCTTGAATTTGTAATATTATAAATTATAGTATTTATATCAAACATGCATTTGATAATAACTGTTTCCTCTCTAGTTTTAATATTATTATTCATTGTACTATTATTATTAATTCTTAATGATGAACTCAGTAATAAACATCGTTACCAATAATAAATATAAAAAAAAAAATTAATTATTAGTAATAAAATATTAATTTCCCCTTTTTTATTTTTTACAGGAGAATGTGTGATGCAAAAAAAAAATTATTTTTGAGAAATTTTTATATTTATTTGACAAAAAAAAAAAACGGCTTATATCGTTATAGTGTAAATCGATCCATTTCCAATTTAATTTTCCGACAATTTGACAATTTACATTAAGATCTTTTTGTAACATGATTTTTTTTTTTTTTTTTTTTTTTTATACGCATGCAATATGTATAAAATAATGAAAATATCGATGCGCACGCAAACAAACAGTTTTACACGTAGACGATAATTATTTCATTATTCATATATATGCATTATAATTTTATAACTTTCATTCTCAACATTTATATAATATGCATTCGTACATGTATTAAAATTATTTTGACAATGAAATAAATTTTTTTTTTTATTTTCCTCTTCTGAATTTATTATAAAATTTACGATTTTCAATTTTTTTTCAGCTCTATTTTTCATCAAAGAAAGTAAACATTTGATAAAACTTTTCTTTCCTGATAAATTTTCAACGATTCTATATTTTTCTGTTAATTTTCTAATCGGTGTAACAACATATTTTTTATTTCTCTCAAAAAGGCATTATAATTATTTTCTTTATTATAAGGAACAGTGTGCAAAGTCGACGTACATTTATAGCTTTCTTTACATTCAATATAAAAAAAAAAATTTTTTTAACTCCAAAAAGAATTGATTTTTCAATTGATTTTTTTTTTGGAAAATAAATCCATTTTCTATATACCAAAAATCTTTTACTTTGCGTTTAAATTTTTCACAATAATTATGTCACAAACGGTCTTTTTTTTTATCAACTATTTTATATAATTACTACTATATATTTTTATTGATTGCCTATTATTCCCTTATAATTTATATAATATATTAGGGGCTAATTATCTGCGTCCCACGATCCAGCTAATATAATAATTATATTGATATACTATAATTTATGATATATATCTATCAAATAGTTAATGTAATGAAAATCTCTATAGAAAAGAAAAAATGTATTTTTATGCATTATAAGAAAACAAAAAATATATTTTCAATTTTTAGATAAATGGAAGAAAATTTATATTCAATAATATAAATGGAAGTGTTCAATAATAAATGGAATCGCTTGATTAATGGATTTTTTTTAAAATGAAACTATCTATATATTTATACTCTATTAGTGAGGAAAAATTAAAAAAAAAAAAAAAGCATCAGTCATTCGATCGATATTAACCGGCAGATAATGAACCTCTTTTTTTTTTCTCTTGAAAAAGCAGTATTTTTTTTTTTTTTTTGCCGGCTCTGGCATAGTATCAAATATATTTTATGAATCTGATATCATTCATTTCGATGGATATGTTATGTGTGTGGTTAATTTTAAAACTTTCAACAACAATAACATCACTCTAAATTTTTTTTTCCCTTGATTCTTGACATTCAAAAACATTCAAATATGTCTTATATTCAAAAATTTATACAAAATGAAAAAAAAAAGTTTTTTAAAATTATTTTTATAAATACTATTTTGTAATTAAAATCAGTTTCTCTGTTAATAATATATAAATAATCTGATATCATCACGACGACAATCATTGATAAATTTATCAATAGATAATGAAAAAAAAAAAAATAATAATTATTTTGTAAATAATTAAAAAAATTGATCGAACTTAGAATCTGTGCGTTTTATACAACCAAACTAAATCCCGACGACCTTCTCTTCTTAAAACAAAACGAATATAAAATCCACTCGCATTATCAACGTCTTCCGTTTGCGATATCTCATTATCGTTATTAACTTCCTGAATTATTGTTTCTTCATTCTCGATTTCCTTTTCTATCATTTCCTTTTCAATTTTCGTCTCCTCATTATTTTCCTTTTTCATTTCATATTCCTCCTTTATTGATGATGCTGATTTCTCTTCTTTTATTGACTCAATGTCTACAACTAGTACCTCAATTTTTTCTTGTTTTGAAATTTTAGGCAAATCACAATTATATGATGATGGTGGCGGTGATTCTTGATGTGTTTCTAATTTTTGTGAGGTATGATATTGAGATTCATCAGCAATTACGACCGCACCGTTAGCGGTCGTGGCCTTCGGTTAGTTACTGCCAGAATGTTGCTTTTGATCAGAACCGGCATCACTTCCGCTCGAGCTCAATGTCGTATTGCTACCATACGGATCCAAGGACGATTGTACCGACATACTTCGTCCTTGTCGTCTCACTCTGTGGGGAGAGAGTTTTCCAGGGTCGACACTGGTTGGGTCTGCCTGCAACAATCTGGTGGTCAAGTCATTTCCGCAAAAAAAGAAAAAAAATTTTAAAAAAAAATTAAAAATAAAAAATTAATATTCATTCTTTGAAATAAAAGTAAGGACTTGAAACACGCACCTGATACGCCAGTGCATTCATGATAATACTGTAGGGCACTAGTGATAGAGGATGAACTTCTCTCATTAAAACATTGGCTGGAATCTTGTGGAACTGGATATAATCAAGAAAGTTTCCAATAACGTCCTTGAGAGGTGTGTTCTGATTACTATCGCAATATTTCTTGCTCCACATTAACGCTGCCTGCAAATGATAAGATAAAGAAAAATTATTAAGGAATCCCAAGTGATAGATCGGAAATAATTATACGTCTTAGGAAATCAATTTCAACATTATTTCGTTTACAATCATTTTTTATCAAAAAAAAACGAATCATAAAATTTAATAATACAAAAATATATTATTATTTCAATTAATTAAATAAAAATTATTAATAAAAATTATTTTAACTAATTTAAAAAAAAAACTTTTTTTGCTTTGGAATTAGTAAAAATTAAATTTTTATAAAATTTTCTTAGTTATCGAATTTAGTAAAATTGAACTAATAAAAATTTGTAAAAAATTTTCTCACTATCGAAAATTGAACTAATAGAAAATTTAATTTAATTTAAAAGTGATTTTAAAACTTTTTTTAAATAAAAATTATTAATAAATTATTTTAACTAATTTTAAAAAAACTTTTTTGCATTGGAATTAGTAAAAATTAAATTTATATAAAATTTTCTTAGTTATCGAATTTAGTAAAATTGAACTAATAAAAATTTGTAAAAAAATTTCTCACTATCGAAAATTGAACTAATAGAAAATTTAATTTAATTAAAAAAAGTGATTCACTGATTCAAATTATTTGGAAAATTTTACTAATTTCTTTTTTTTTTTTTTACTATTATTTTTGGAGAAAATATTAAATTTAATATTTTTTTTTTATTATACCTGAAATTTTGTGAATTCGTCGGCTCTCAAATCTTCTCGGGCCAAAATTAATCGTACTACATGTTGAGGTAATAATGTAAATGATCCTAAATTCAAAACATCATTGCCATGTTCATCAACGAATTCCAAGACCTGTGGAAAAATTAATTTTTATTATTTTTAAAAAAAAAATTTTTTTTTTAAATTTCCAAAAAAAAAATGTGAATTTAAAGAAGAAATTTCTTTTTTTTTGTGAAAAAATATACCTTTTGTACAAGTGATTTTGTACACTTGTATTGAATATATCGTTCGGCTGATGCCAAAAGTGCACAAACAGTATCTACAGTAATGCAACATTGTACAAAACCTGCACAAGCTCGTCTAAGTTCATCGAGTCCATAATAATCAGCAGCATTCATTACACCTGTAAAAAAAATGATAATTGATTAAAAACTAATAAATCGAAAATTTCGAATTTAATATTATTTATTGTAATTAATTAATTTAATAGGTGATAAAATTAATTTTCAATAATAAATATTAAATAAATAATAATAATAAATAATAAAAATTTAATTCGATACAAAATTTAATTAAATAAAATAAAAATAAAATTAATTTGATTTACCTTATCACTAAATCAATATAGAAACAAAAAAAATTCATTTACCAAGCAAAGTTCTTGGCTGAAGTGTAACGCAACCAGTGTGAATATATTCAATAAGTTGACGAAATACATCCGGCTCAAATTCTTCAATAATCAAAGTTTGATGCTGAAATGTTTGAGGCTGTGAATAAATAAAAATATGACAAAATTTAATATAATCGTTATAACAAAAAAAAAAAATGTCTCAATAAAATTAGGATTATTTTTGTTCACAACAATTTGAAAATTTTTATTCAAATCATTATATAATAAAAATTATTCTATATTTTGTAAAATGTACATTGTAATGAAGTAAAATTAATCCCAGTTGCTACAAAAAAAAAAAAAAAAAAAAAAAAATTTTTTAAATAAAGCATCGAAAAACTGTTTCTTTATAAATAATATTGTGAATAAGCATAAGTAGAATATTCATCAGTTTTGAAAATTCATTTTCAAAAAAAGCGTTCAATAACTTGTGAAAATTACAAAGCCGTGATATATTTTTCTATATTTTTCAAAAAGGTGCACTATCTGAATAAAAACACACAAAAAAATGCATTTAAAAAAAAAATTTGAATTTTTCTTTTATTATTATTAAAATTATTAATAGAATTATTATTAATAATAATAATAATAATAATAACTATTAAAAAAAATTATTAATTAATAATTAATAATTAATAATTAATAAAATTACTATTAAAATTATTATTAAAAACTGTAATTAAAATATAAATATTACAAAATAATATTTTTTATTACAATAATAAATATTAAAAATTAAATTAGTAGTGATTAATTAAGAGAAAAGAGTGTAAATACTAAAAGTGTGCTATTGTCAGACAGAAAAATTCTAATAAAAAAAAAAAGAAAAACTAGTTGTAAATTTTTATTTTAAAAAATTCATAATTTTTTTTCACATTATAAAAAGAAATTAATTTTATTTTCATTAATTCACTGAGAAATATTCCCTAAAATTATATTTAGAAAATAATTGTGCAACATATTGTATATTATATATAATAAAAGGTATTATAAATGCAATGCAATGCAGTGCAGTGCAAAAGCGGATAAATTATTAAGAAACTTCCATTTTCATTACACATAAATCACATACATAGAAAATACCTCTTGAATGGGGGCCAGCTGCTGCGTGAAGCCTGATCGCTACACGACACATAACAGAGATACACACTTACTATTTCTATCATTACAATTATCCTAAACATTAATTAATTAATTAATTAATTAAAAATAATAGATTTTTCTATAAATATTCATTTTTTTTTTGGGAAGCAAATTTTTTATTTTTCTTATCTAATCAAACAATTTTATTTTTATTATTCAAATTGTCTAGAAATTACTATAAAATTTTTAACTATGTAATTTTTTTTAATATCAATTGTCTTTTTTTTATATTATAAAAATAATTTTTAATTATTTTCAGCTTACATTTCAAAAAAAAAAAAAAAAATTAATGAATAAATAAATATTAATAAATAAATATCAATAAATAACTATCAATAAATAATTGTCAATAAATAATTATTAATAAATAATTGTCAATAAATAATTATTAATAAATAATTGTCAATAAATAATTGTCAATAAATAATTATTAATAAATAATTGTCAATATATAAATATCAATAAATAATTATAAATAAATAATTATAAATAAATAAATAAATTCATGAATACTGTATTTCTAGATATTTGTGATAATTTTTGTGTGTTAGAGAAATAAAACCATTATTTTAATGGTAACTCTGCTCGCAAGTAGTAGAAGTATCAGTAAAGTGGAACATGCGCACAGTCTCACTATTACAAGCCGCTACTACTTCCAACAGTAAAATAAGTACATTATTTTTTTTTCACAAAAATTATACAATCTAAAAAAAATTATATTCACAAATTTTTTACTTTCTAAATAAAAATCGAAGTCATATCAAGAATAGTTATAAATAAAAAAAAATAATAGTAGGAGACAAAAGACTCAACAATTGTTTCAAAAAGTGAATAAAAAGTAAATCAAAAAAAAATTTTTTTTTAATGTTTTTAAAGAAAAATTATTATTATAATTACTATTATTATTATTTTAATAATAATTGTAATAAGTATAATAATAATAATAATAATAATAATAAAAATAATAAATAAAAAATAAAAATAAATAAATAAATAGAATATAATAAAATTATGTTATATTATTAATATATTCAACTATACACAATTTTAAAAGATATATTGGAACAATATATATATATGAAACAGAAAAAAAGTTATAAAATTACAGGGTTGAATATTATATTAAGGAAATGGAAATTGGTTATAGTGCTTTTTAATATACACTGAAACCCTGATTATATGGCGGAGTTAATAAAGAGAGTATTAAATAATAAATGATCATTTCAAAATAAATCAGGTTTCCAGTGAATTATAATATTTTTTATATCTATTTTCATTTTTGAGCAAACATAGCAGTGGTATACTCGAAAAAAAATTTTTTTATAATAAATTAAATTCCATTGTTATAAATATAATAGTGTTATTGAAAAAAAAAATTATCCATTACTTGACTATCAAATAAATATTTACTTGAACCAAACAAATATTTATTCGAATTAAATAAATTCTATTTAAATCAATAATTTCTCTATTTGAAATAATAATTTTTGTATTTGGTACAAATAAATATTTATTTGAATCAGAAAATAATTATTAAATACAGATAAATATTTATTTGAATCAGAAAATAATTATTAAATACAGATAAATATTTATTTGGATCAGAAAATAATTATAAAACACAGATAAATATTTATTTGAATCAGAAAATAATTATGAAATATAGATAAATATTTATTTGAATAAAAAAATAACTATTAAATACAGATAAATATTTATTTGAATCAAAAAAAAATTATTAAATACAGATAAATATTTATTTGTTAATATAGTCAAATAATCGATTATTTGAATAAATTTTTTTATAAACGACTGCTATGAAAACTTTTTTTTTATAATAATACGTGCAAATCAAAATTATATATCAATATAAACATGAATTATATATAAAAAAAAATTTTTTTTTCAAGTTAAATACAAAAATATTTACAATAATTCTTCTTCTTCTTTTAAATAAATATTTATAATTTCCCTATTTTCGAATTTTCATATATATATATAAAAAAAAAATATACAAAATATTTTTTTTTTTAAGTACATGCTTAATTACCTGTTGTGCGGCATTTTGCAAATTTAATAATGGTTCCGAGCTTCTTTTCAAAAAGAGTCTAAGTTTATTTTCACGCGCTGGTGGATCTTTTTTCCGTTGTGGACTTGGCGCTTGATACAGCATTTTGTGAAAGACTCTGCAAAGCGTAAATAATAAAATTAAAAAAAAAAAATTATTATTAATCGCAAAGGGGATATAGAGGAAAAATTTATTTTTAAAAATTAAAAAAAAAAAAACTGGGGAAAATAAGAAAAAGGTTTTATATGAAAATAACCTGCTTCTTGCAGCCAAGACTGCTTTAACAGCGCAAACTGGCTCTCGAGTGTCACCGACGAGAAATGTTACATCACAAAGTTCAGGCATACTTGCCAGGAACTTCATGTCATCGGCGAGACCGCTTTTATTCTCAAAAGTCGAATAATCCGCCTCGTCGGCTACACCCGACCCCGAAGCCTCCGGCATCGAGTCTGCTTTTTCCTGAAAAAAGAAAAAAAAAATTAATTATTTTAAATTTCAATTCAAACTTATTCTAGTTGTTTTTTTTTTTTTTTTTAATAAAATAAGAAAAAATAATAAATTAATTTATAAAAAAATTAAATAATTTTTAATTTTTACACTTTTATAAATTAATTATTTATTTTCACTAAAAGAGGTTTTTTCAATTTTTTCCATTGTTTGCGATTAAAAGTTGTTATCAATTTTTCAATGTCTGTTACAATATTATTATTATCTTTGTTCTTTATACCACGCCCTGATGAAAATTTTCTAAAATAATAAAAGACTAACTTTTTAATAAATAGTTGCTAATTACATTTCCATATAATCTTGACCCAATTTATCGACAATTTGTGTTCCAGTTAAAATAAATCTACAAATTTTCATGAATTATAAATATTTTCTAATCTCTTTTTTTGGTTTCGAATATTCTATTTATAAATTTAAAAAACTGAAGCAAATAAAAAATATTCTTTACAATAGTACAAAAAAAAAAAAGAAAAAAAAATGTAAATAGAAAGTATATAAGTAAGCAATTACCTGTTGCTCAGACCCCGGAGCCCCCTCGCTCGTCGGGCTGTTTCTACCCCGAAAAAACACTTTTACCTTACTTCTAATCGACTTTTAATACACATAATAACACGGCATCGATTTTTTTTTTAACAAACAATGTACATTTGCGTTTACATATAGGACGGACGAAGAATCAACGATTTTAATATAAACAGCTTTTTTTTTACCTAATATATAAAAATATTGTTCTTTAAACGAAATTTAGTTGGTAAATAAATATATATTTATATATATTTATATTTATGGAAGTTTTGATTTATAATATAAATTTGTATTTCATTTTTTGAAATGATAAATGAATATATTTATTATTTTAAATATCACTGCCACATGTTTAAGTATTTTAATGCCTATTTATTTTATTAAAAGAGAAAAACTATTTTTTGTTTGATTTTATTTTTTATTAAGATTAAAACAATGATATAAAGAGGGTGCTTTTACTCAGAGCACTTGGGTTCGATAGAGCTTCCAACCCTTAGGAGAGGGCTCAAAAATGCGCTTGCGTCAGGATACACCCGTTTTATTGCGCTTGTCCAAAACCCGGGGTATTTTAATCGAAACTTTTTCAAGGTAAAACGATTAGAAGAAATCTGTAGTTTGTTAATTATGTAAGATTTTGGTCGTAAATTACTTTTTTCTCTTTCTTTATGTCAAGAAACAACATTTTTTTTTCTAATATAATGCTAATTTGTTTTTAAGATTCAAATTTTTAATTTTGCAAAAATAAAATAATATTTTTATAACAAAAAATAGTTCCTCTATTACAGAAAAAAAAATGTAAATTTTTTCATTAATAATTCAAAAAAAATTATTTTCAAAAAAATTACTTTCAATTTTAAATTTGTTTATATAAAACAAAAATAATGAAAGCATAAAAGATTTCGAAAAACTATTTTTTTTTAATTTCAAGTTTTATTGTGATTTGTGAAGTAAAATCTCATATCATTTTTTTTTCCTCTTTTTTTTATCGTAGAGAACAGTTGTGAGAGTTGAAATTGAACGCGTGCGCGAGAATAACGAACGTTTTCAATTTCGTTTTTACAGTATCTTCCCACATTTTCTAAGATGAAATGCTGCTGGAATAATAATGTTTTTACATGATCAACTTTTCTCATTCAATTTTAATTTACATAGAGCAATAATTGTGATATTTTTTTTTCTTTTTTAACATAAAATTTGAAACAAAATAAATCGCTTTTTTTTCGAGAAGCAAAAAAAAAAATATGAAATATTAAGTCATAACGTAAAACAACATCGATTTTATTAAACACAAATGCTTGCATGTTATCATAGAAGTTTGTAGTAATTATAATAATAATATAATAATAATAATAATAATAGTAGTAATAATAATAATAATGATAATTATACTTATGTATGTATATATGTACATAAAATAAGGCACATTTGATATTACAATTAATAATCAAAACGCGACGCTATTCTCGTTGCGCTGTCATATGTCACTTTCTCTTAAAGATATGCTACGCGCCTTCATAGGGTTACATTTTTACCAAAATGTAGAAAATGTTTTTTTTTCTTTTTTTTTTTTTTTTTTTGTCATTATACGCATACACCTATATGAAATAATACGTCTGAGTATAATTATAAATCTCTCTCTCCATTATTTCCCCTTATATTACTTATTTGTAGCTCAAAAAAATATCAAATTGCAACAAATTATTCAATTAGCAAATCAATTGATTACAAATAAGTTGAATTCAGATTTACTTTTCACAATTTTAAATAGTCAACGATGTTATTTAAATTAACAATTTGAATTTACACTATTATTAAAACGCATCTATTTAAAAAAAAACAACATTTGTTTCGTTTTCATTCACGCTAATATAAATCGTTTTAAATAGAGATTTATTATATATGATATATATATATATATTTATATTCACATGTTCTGCATATATATTATTGATTGATAATTACTTACATACGCAGAACGTGTTAAACTGGCACGTATTCAAAAATTGGTTGCAGTCATTACATGTATACATGTATATTTATATCTTACAATTGAACGAGAAATAAATAAAAAATTGAAAACAATTTCAAGAATCGAATAAGTTTTTTTTTTGAAACGAGAAAAAAGGGATATTTTGAACACTCTTTTTTCTTATTTTATTAATAAAAAAGAAAAAATTTGCAAAACATATTTTTTTTCTCTTTAAAAACAATATTTAATAATACAAATCCATCTATTAGAGTAATTCCATAATATCACTTTATCTTCATTTCACAAGTTTATAACATACTTTTTTTTTTTTTATTCATATAATACTTAGATATTTAGTTTCATACTTTGAGCTATTTTTCACAATCGCCAAGAAACGAATTTTCTTTTAATATATATTCTAACGAAATAATATATCTACAAAAATGACACTTTCATTTCATTTACTTGTAATTTTGATTTTTTTTTTTAAACTATCACGTACGTATTTTTGAAAGTATAATTTATTTTTTTGAATCTGAAAAAGAAATCAATGAAAATTTGTTTCTGGAAGATATTTTTTAATAAATTAAACTTTACGCCATTCACTTCGTAAAATAATACATTGACGTTTCATACAAATCCAATCATTAACTATATATTTGATTTGGCAGCATATGAAAACGTTTTTAAGCGAATTATCCTAATAATGAAAGAGAAGAAAAAAATTATGTGAAATTCTTGAAAAAAAAACCCATAAATATCTAATATGCATTTACTCTTTATATATATTTTTTTTTTATTTTAAAACTTACAATTTATTTTAAATGCTGTTACTGTAAATAATTATCATTAATTTATAATTGAAATTAAATTATTTTCATAACGAATAAAATTTGTATAAATTTTCAAATTATTTCGAAATTAAAAATAAAATACTCAATGGTAAAATATATAACGTGAAGAAAAAAGTAAGATAATGACGAAAGTTTTATTTTAAGGAAGAAATACGAGACAGCTTGACAGTTAGTAAAAGTGTACCAAATGTTTTCTAACTTTTAAAAAGTATTTCAAAGAACTTGAAGAACTAACAAAAAGTTGGTTCGCAACATTTTTAATTAAATTAGACAAAAGCAAATACTATCTAATTTGATTATGTAGTTAATATCACAACAACAGCATTTATAAATTTTTTTTTTAGATTTTTTTTTTCACACATATGTATATTTTAACTGAATTCTAATTCAGTAAAAATGTAATTAATTTTGTTCCTCTCGTAGATTTACACTTTACTATTTTATTTTTGTCACCTATCTTAAATTGATTAGCAACATTTACATGAACTGGCATAATTTATATTTTACATGAATGTACAAAGTCTGGCATCATATAATATATATATATATACTTTTATAAATTTGAATAAAAAAAAGAAATGACGTATTTTTATGATAATTGGAAGCAAAATTTTTTCATAACAATAAAATGCTTCATTTTGGAATGTTAAAGTTCTATTATATAAAACAATAAAATGAGATATTTATAAAAAAATAGAAACTTAAAGCAGGATTTAAAATCCATATTTGAAAAATAGAAATTTAAAATAATTTATAATTTAATAAAAAAAAACAATATATATTTTGCATGGCACTGGCTGACATGCACTTTTTTTTTCATTTGGAAGTCCTTTTCTAAAATTAGAACTAGTTTTCAAATCCACGAAATAAAGTTCTAAACAAATCATCAGCATACGTCATAACAACAATCAGTTAATTACTCTCAATTTAATTTTACAGTCAGTATTATAATGTACAATTTTTTTTTTCTTTTTTTTTTTTTTACTTTTCTATGTATATATTTATAAATATATCAGTCTCTATCCTTCAAATGACCTCTTTGAACATTTAACGTGAGAAAAAGAAATATTGAAGGAAAAAAGACTGCAATAGAAAATTATGAAAGAAACGAGATTCTTTGAAATATAACGATCTATTCAAAAAAGTATTCGATACTTGATAGATCTACGGAAGAATGTTTTTTTTTTGTCCAATTTCTCCACTATATTTTCAAATTATTAATCATTGTCTTAATAAAATAAAAAAAAAATAAAGAAAACATTGAGAAACAAGGCTTTAGACGACATTAACTATTAATATCACTCTCTACATTATATAAATATCCGTCTAATTTTCCTTCTCATAATAAGTTTCCCTATAATCTAAACTAGAGTTTGTTTCATGTCGTCTATAAGCAAAATTTCTAAACAAATTTTGGTAGCTGCAAAATCTATCTGCCAAAACGTGTCCTAGCGACTGAATAACGATGTCCAGATATCCAAAATCCAGCAGATTCTGAACCATGACCAGATCTTGATTTGTGACGAGAAAATACTCGATATCACAATTTTAATGGATCGTAATTTTCAAATGACCACCTCTGCCTCGCCGAAGATGGTGAACATTCTTCCATTAATAGCCGCTGTTTACTTTCCGTAATTGCCAGACATTTGTCACTACTTCCATGTTTAATTTGCTTGGTCTGAAAAAAAGAAAAATTTAATTCTTATTGAAAATAAAGAAAATAAATTTAATAATTTTTTTTTTAAATTCTACTTAGATAAATCACCTGTTGATTATAAATCCATTGCTGATTGCCTTTACTTCCATGACAAGGATACAAAATCACATCAGTTCCACTGTAATCCAAACACGATTCGTCCCTTCGAATTTCACCAGTTTTACTCAACATCCAATACTATAAAAAATAAATTAATATTCAATAAAAAATATCAATTAAAAAAAAATTAATTAGAAAAGAAATTAATGGTTCCAAAGAATCAATTTTTTTGAAAGCTAAATTCTGTTTATAATGACTTATAAAATCGATTATTATATTTCGTATATATATAGGCGATGATGACGATCATCATGTGACATTGAATGGCACGTTTAAAACGATGAAGCGTCAAAGCGAACCTATCGCAATAGTAATGAGCATTGAGGGTCAATAATTGAGTCCAGCGACCCTCGAAATTGCGTTGATTCCACTGACCGTTCTGGGTGTTTGTTCAATTTCAGCCAGTTTATGCTAACCATTGCAGTTACTTCATCACACTAGATTCGTATATTAACTGTTCAAATTCTTCAATTGTAATCAAAAAATAATTTTTTTTTTTTAACTTCCAAAAATAAATTTTTTTAGCTTTCAAAAACATAAAAAATAATAATGATTCATTGGAACCATATAGCTAATTAACAGTGAAGATCAAAATTTATCACAACGTGATGTGTAAATCTCATTAGATGCATAACCAAACATAAGAAGATTAAGGATAATGAGAAGCTAACTGGGAATTCGTGCAAGCATGCTACAAACAGGATAAGCATTCTCCAACGTGTAGTCCTATACCTTACATAATGCTTCTGATCGACTCTAATTACATTAACAAGCAGGATCAGCAAAACAATTTCATGCAATCTCAACCTAATATTAAATGTATCTGACATGTTAATTGTCTAATTTATGTTTCAATCAATTCATACTTTGTAAATAGTATTCTTTGAAAAAAAATTTTTTCGAAAAAAAAATAATTATGATAACCAAAGAATTTGAAAAAAAATAATTACCATGATAATTAGGAATATAAAAAAAAATAGACTGATAAGGAACAGAAAAAAAAAATGAAGAACTTCTCGATATAGGGCGAAAAAAAAATGAAGCAGTAAAACGTAACTTTAAATAGACATCATTTGGAGCTTCGTCCAAAAGCGTAATTACCGTGAACTGTGACTTAATTGCGAGAATAAAATAGCTTATACGACGAGGCAAGACACGCTCGTACTACTGGCGCCGACTGATTGTGTTTTTGGTTGTAACCAGTTACCTTAATTACCGTTTTACGCACACACCAATACTTTTATATAAGCGAGGATACTCCAACAATATATATATATATATATTTATAGTTAGAAAATCCTTGCTCGCGTGTATTCGTAACCTTAACGACAGAAACCCCTTTCCCCTTTACCAGAAACGTATACGAACCATGAAGAAAATAGAGGAAGAATAAAAATGGATTCATTTAATGGGAAACTATACACCACATTCTCATTCGACTTTGTAACTAACAAAGTGAAAGAATTAAAAAAAAAAAAAAAAAATTTCCTCTAAGAAAATAATTTTTTAATCAAATTCAAAATTTACAAAATAACAAAAATTATTATATAATAATAAAATGCTTGGTCTGTCCTAACTTGAAGTTGGCCTTTTCTGATTTCACGTGTTTTTTTTTTAATAGTAATCTTATGACGTGTCAAATTTTGAAAATTCTTTTTCTCATTTTTGCCAAAGTTGTATAATTGTGTTTCCAAATTTCGGAATAAGTTTCTTTAAAATTCCAAATTCGAAAATTCAATTCACGAAGCTGATGTACACAACGTTTATCAATGAAATTTTTTTAAAATTTGTATATTAATTCAAAAATTGTACAAAAAATTTATGATGAGAAAAAAGATGCGCCGGGAAATTTCGTACAAGATAGTAATTTGAAAAAAATTTATTTTTAAAAATTAATTTTTAATGTACCAGGGGCCAACGAATATCTATTAAATATTAATTATAAAAACACAGGCCTCGAATCAACTTAAAGACACAAAAAGTCGTTTCAGTCGATTTTTATTCGAAAAAAGTGGATTTGTTTTTTATTTTAACAAAAATATATTACAGATTTTTAAATAAAAAATTTTTTTTAATAATAATCCTTTTCGAAGGGTTAAAGTTGAAATTTTTAGAAATAATTAAATTTCAAAAGATATTGTTAATTTTCAAACAATTATTAAATTTTACAGAACTAAAAATAATTTATCAAACAATTTTTGGGAAAACATTTTTTAAATTTAATTGAATTTTCAAAGATTTAAAATTGAGATTTTTGAAATTAATTGAAATTTTAAGTGTTTTGTAATTAAAATTTTAGATGATTTCACTAAAAATTTATTAGAAAATGCGGACAAAATACAATAATTTGAAAATTATTTTTAATTGAAAAATGGTTTCAGATAGTTGAATTTTCAAAGAATATTATTAAAAAAGGTTAAAAATAATTGAATTTCCATAGAGTTTTAATTGAAATTATTAAATTTCAAAAAAAAAACAATTTTCGATGGAAAATTTTAGAAATAATTAAATTTTAGATGCTGTTAAATTCAAATTATTGAAAATTCAATTAATTTTGAATTCAAATTTTTGAGAATAATGAAATTTTATTTGATTTTAAATTTGGAAAATAATTGAATTTCAGTTCATTTTCAATTGAAAGTAAGTGATTGATTTTAAATTGAAAATTTTTTAAATAATTGAATTTCAATTAAAATTTTGGAAAATAATTTTATTTTAGTCAAATTTTAGTTGATTTTGAATTTAAATTTAGAAAACAATTGAATTTTAGTTGATTTTGAATTGAAATTTTTGAAAATAATAGTACTTTAGTTTATTTTGAATTTAAATTTTGGAAAATTTTGAAAATATTTGAATTTCAATTAAAATTTTGAAAAATAATTGTATTTTAGGTTAACTTTTAGTTGATTTTGAATTTAAATTTGGAAAATAATTAAATTTTAGTTGATTTTGAATCGAAATTTTTGAAAAAAATTGAATTTTAATTAATTTATAATTAAAATTTTTGAATAGAATTGAATTTTAGTTGATTTTGAATTGGAATTTTAGAAAATAATTGAATTTCAATTGAAATTTTGGATAATAATTTAATTTAAGTTCATTTTTAATTGAAAATTTAAATAATTAATTTTGAATAGAAATTTTAGAAAATAATCGAATTTTATTTAATTTTTAAATTGAAAACTTGGTAAATAATTAAATTTTAAATTGAAAATTTTGGATTATTTTTGAATTTTTAATTGATTTTGAATTAAAATTTCGGATAATAATTGAATTTTAGTTTATTTTGAATTGAAACTTTTTAAAAAAATAATTCAATTTTATTGTGATATATTTTTTTTTTAAATTATAAACAATTGTTAAATTTCATAAAAATTGAAAAATAATTTTGATATAATTGAATTTGTGATGTATTTCATTAAAATTATTAAAAATAATTAATTTAGTGAAGAATCATTTTAGTTCAAAATTTGTTAAATAATTGAATTGAAGAAGATCTAAAGACGATCTACATTTTATACTAAAAAAATGTATTTTATTTACATTTTTTTTCAAATGTAAAAAAAAATGTCGCAGTTTATTAAAATAAGTCGATAAAAGTCGTATATTTTTGAAAAAAGTCGGAAAAAGTCGTATATAATCCGAAGCCTGTAAACATATAATTTTCATTATTATCATTTAATATGTAATAATATTCTAATAAATTAAATTATTATTGATAATATTAATCTTTAATTTCTGTATAACAAACAATTAAATAATCAATTTGACGCGTTTGCGCGCGTGTAATTTTGCTAGTTATTTAATAAATTAATTGGAAAAATAATTTTTAAAAAAAAAAATTTTTTAAACCAATATTATATTTCCACTATATTTTTTTTGGTATTAAATTCGTATCATCTCATCTTTATTCTCGTTGACAAAAAAAAAAAATAAAAAAAAAAAATGGTGATGGAGAGTGGCATTTGCATTAACAAGTCACGAGATTCCTAAACGATTGATGAGCACCTGCACCAGATTAGAGGTGTTACTGATTACTAACAAAATGGATAGAGATTAACGCAACCAATGATGTGTTCTACAAACTGCTTCAAGGCTTGCGTGACATCAGTTAATCGCAATTTAAATTCTACGCTGATGTGAATTTTTAGTTTCCAGAATGAAAATTATAGATTGAATTTCACTTTCAGAAAAAAACCCTTCACCTTATTACTTTTTCCTACTTTTAATTAAATAAATAATTGGATTTTCTATTCTACAAATTATTTTCAATTTTGATTTTGATCACCATTTTATCAACATGCTTAGTTTTCGAATTTTTTTTTTTTTTTTGAAGACAATACGTGTACCTGATTGCCACCCTGGCCGTGACAGGGCCAAAGGCCTACCGGTTGGTGTAGGTCTTCTGGCTTTCCTGGCGAATCTATGCACACGCCACTAGCGAGTTGTCTTATCTGCATTAAAATTCAGCAGAGACGCACCGATTATATAAAGAGTATACACATACAAGTGATATTTGTTTATGCATTCATGAAAGGAAAACAGCATCACAATATATATATATATATAACTAAACTACAAACACAAATAAAGCAATTTGCACATGCAAACACAATTTAAAGTTAAGATAATTTGAAAAGTCGTAAATCAATAGATTTGGAATTAAGGCGCATTAAATAATTTTTCAATTATTATAATTTTGAAAATATTTTCAGCTAATTCAATTAATTTACAAAAAGAGATAGATGAATTGAAAAAAAAAATGAAAATACAAAATTGATATCGATCAAAGGCATATCTTTCGTAACATTCATTTTGGCATCACGTCAATTTAAATAAACTAGTCATTCTCTCTTTTATCAAAAGCGCCATTTGAATTTCAAAAAAAAACGATTCACGGCTTTTCAGAATCGATAAGTAGCCGTTGACAGCAGTGTGGTGCTGCTGCTGCAGGGGATGGGTTTTTTAATCGGCAACCAATTGCTCTGGAGAACAGTTTTTTTTTTTTTGTACCTGGTTGCCGCCCTGTCGATGGCAGGGATACAGTCCAGCCGGTTTGTGCAAATCGGCCTTACGAGCCGGCGAATCCAAACACGTCTTTCCTCCTTCACCCAAATTGCGAATCTGTATTTATTTATGTAATTAAAATTAATTTTATCAATTTCTGAAAAATCATTTAAAAATTTTATTAGTTAAATTATGCTCTAAAAAAAGGGATCTAAAAAAAAATACTTCTTCATTACATTAAAAATTATTCTTAATTAAAAATCAAAGAATAGAAACAATAACTAATTTTTTTCTTCAGGTCCCTTTTTTTTTCTTAGAAAAAAAAAATTTATTTGATTCACTCGCTTTCTTGAGCCAAATTTAATTAAATAACTTGTATTTGGACCAATAATTTCTGAAAATATTATCTCGAAAATAATATTTAATAAAAATTTTGAATCAAATCAATTTTTCTTTTCAGCGTATATAATTACATACAATAAAATAAATTTAAAATTACAAAAGAGATGTCAATTTTCAAATATAAAGTTATAAAAAAGAAAAAAATTTTTTCCAGTTAAAATTCCTCATAATTCCGTGGATTTCGACCTAAAACGAAATCTATGATGTGAAACAAGCGTCATTGTAAAAGTCAAAGGAATATTAACGAGTGTACTCTAAAAACGTAGCCTCCTCCATATATACGCTCTTTCCATTTTCTCTTTTTCTCCTCTTTTTTTTATTTTTTCCTTTTTTTTCGAACTGGGGGTAAACCATCGACGGTGCACTTCCCATTTTTCAAATGAGCAGTAAAAAATCGAAAACGGACATTGTGGTTATTTCTGACGAACCACCGTTGCATTCATAAATATATATATATATATGTGTGTGTGAGATAACGATGTTTCGGCTGACGACTGCTCTTCGGAAAAGTTTTGATTTTACCCCCAATGCGAACGTTGTATCTGCGGTTTAAGGATATAGTGCATGCAAAATAACATAAAAGTTTTGCGAAACTCTAATTCAAAATATGCGCAAAATATTTCAAAAAAAAAAACTCTCATTGAAACTGCGCGCTAAAAAAATCATCATCCCTTAAAATTCCAAATGGCCGAGTGATGTGTTGCTATAGGGGGGTTAAAAAAAAAAGAAAAAATTGATTAAAACCAAATGACACTCGAGGGCTTTTAGGACATATGAGAATTCCAATGGATGTAGATTGCTGTGAAAAAACTTGATAGAGGAAAAGCCTTTGACGCTGAAACAAACTTTTGAATTTGGTATCATGCAAAAGTTTAAAAAGTTAGTTTTTTTTTCCTTTCTGGTATATTAATTTTTATTTTTTTTAATCGGAGCTGAAAATTTTTAATTTTCAAAATGTATTTTAAAATACATACTATATTTAAATTATCATACATAAATTAATTTAATGGGAAAATAAATAAAAATTAAATTATCATATAAAAAAACTTTGAAATTCTCTTTTAATTAGATATTTAAATTATTCCAATTAAATTAATTTATTTATTAAAACAAGAAATAAATAAAAATTAAATTATTTTCTTAAATCGAATTTTCAAATTCTCTTTCCAAAAATACGTAGTATTATCTATTATGAAAAAAAATTATCCTTTGACATAAAGACGATGATGGTCAGTTTTTTTGGGGGAAAAATAAAAGCTCTTCGTTCATCCAAAAATTGTATTTGTCGAGTTCTCGGCATCACGTAGTTGCAATATGTACTGTTCGAATTATTCACGGCAGTGTACGGTTTCCTGGCTGGGTTTGTGCGACCTATAAATTTCCAGCCGTGTGAGGGGGAGGTTTTTACGTGATTTAGCCAATGGTGTGAAAAAAAAATCAACATTCGTGTGTGTTAAAAGAAAAACAAAAAAAAAAGGAACTTCACGTATATAGGTGAAAGTGAAGAAGACGTGTGTAGAGAAGAAAAGTTTTTAGAGAAGGAGTACAAAATAAACCGACAAGAGAAATGGAAGGTGGAAATAACGTGAAAATATAAGTTTACAATGCCTTGGTATATAGTGCAGAGTGAAATTGTTATTTTACATGTGGCACGGCTGTGTTTTAAAGTGAGAGCCGCGTAAAATGCTCCTTCGCAAAAATGCCTGCCCATTCGTCAGAGAATTCTCTCTCCTATATATAGCAGACGTTGAAACAATTTTTATTTCTCTTTTTTTTTAAACATCTTCATAAAATACAATTTAGAATCTAATAGACAAATATTTTTCAGAATCAAGATAAATTATTTCTCCTTTTTTTTTGCTCGTATAGAAATTGTAAAATTCTCAATAATGATCATTATATATTTTTTTTTAACAAGCATTTTATATATATATGGATTCGAGTGAGAGAATCAACGACAATCTCCATGTTCTCGCGCGTTATCCAGAAACCTCATGAAATTCAAAAATATTCAACAGATTTGATTCAAGTCCCTAGACGAGGGTACGACGATAAATGGGTTTTGACAATAAACGTTCGTACACGTCAACTGCTACCAGTCTCGGCACTCTCAGGGCAAATTGACTAACACCAATGCTTTTTCGCATTTTAAAGTAAAACAAAGAGTATGAAGAGAGATACCTGTCATAGGGGGAAATTTTTTTTATAAAATTCAAAGAAAAAAAAAATAATTAAATTATTTAAAAAATTTTTTTTTTAAAGAAATTTTAATTTAATTTTCTAAACAAATATTTTATAGCAACAAAACAACATTTTGATAAAAGTTCAAAGGTTTTAAAAAAAAGGGGAAAATATATATATATATAAAGGAATAGATTTTCCATCGGAAGCCAAACGATTGAACTGATCGAGATGAATTTCCTCCGGCAGTGGTTGAGTATTGTTTCACAGTCAAAGGCATTGTTTCCTCGGCAAACTCGTCGCCACTAATCATCGTCTCTGCTTCTAACAATCGGCTGTGACACGTGAATACAATAGATACAAGCATTCTAGGTATGAGGCAGTTAGGCTTTCAAATTGTGATTGTTAGCGTTAACTAAGATTTTTGCTTGCCACTTTCAGTGTATATACACCTACTCAAATTGAAGTAAAAAGTTTTAATTGACAAATAAAATTCTTCGACACAAATATTTAATATTTTTTTTTCTTTTTTTCTTTGACTTGGCTGCTTTAAAGTCTTTCCTCTTTAAGAATTTATTTCATAATCTCCTAGAGTTCTAGAAATAAAGTTCTTAATAAACTCTCATTAGTGGGTGAAAAACTTTGTTTCATCTTTTTCAAATTTAATTAGTGAGAAACTCTTTTGGAATATTTTTTTACATATGAGATCTATATTAAAATACTACGTATTTCTGTGAAAGAGTCTTTTCGTATTGATTTTTTTTTTTTTTTAAGAGAAATATTTTTCTATTTAAATTAACGATGTTAAAATAAATGGTTCTTACCTCGCCCGATGCTACTGCTTCTCCTGGAATGAACAATTCTGGATAGACATTGTCCAAATACCATTTAAAAGGCTTACAGCCCAGTTTTTTTCTTAAATTTTTTCGTTCCGAGACGTCACCGTAATTGCCCTTTAAAAAAAAAAATATATGTTTATTTTTTCATTTATACTAAAAAAAAAAAAATTTACTTGATTTTTGACAAATAAATTTCTTTTTCTTTCTAGTAATTAAATTATTAATTAAAACAAAATTAAATCAAAAATAAAATTATATATTTTTTTTAATATAATATAATATATTTAAACCAAAATTATTTCTATAATATATTGAAAATATTTCACTTGATTACAATAATGGTTTGATGATACTGTGTTTGAAATTCACAATCTTAACCATAGTGTAAAGATATCACAAAGTCTTCAAAGGAAACTCATGTCGATTATGATATGCAAGTATAAGGAATTTTTGATATTGGAACAAAGTGCTAGGATAAGCAAAAGGGTCTCGATATTATATCCAAATAATGCAACATGAGAAAATATTTTCTATATACAAAACAAAAAGAGATGTTTGGAGTTCTTGTTAGCAATCTCTTGATTTATTTTTTAAAAAAATCTTCGAAGAGAGAGACTAATTTGGTACAAAAAAAAAAATTTATACATTTATTCAAATAATAAAAAACAAATATTAATATTTTCTTGTGAAGAAAATTATTCAATAGAAAAAAAGTATGTACAACTTTTCAGTTATTTTTTTAAATTTCACGTTAAATTTAGCAAAAGTTTAGAAAATGTTTTCCCCCAAAAAAAAAGAAAAGTAATTTTGAAAAGTTGAGACATAAAATTTTCCAATCGATTTTTTTTCAAGTAAACGAAAATATTTTTTGGTAAATATTTTGAATTTAAAATCAGTATACGATTTTTGATGACCCAAAAAAAAAAATGGAATGTCATTATACAGGTAAATATCGAAGAAAGAATATTTCCAAAGGAAAATCAGAGCTGAGAGACATCCTCCAACTTTAGATATGGAATTGAAATCGGAATTATGTCCCTATTAAACTCGGTGACTGGGAGGACTGCCTTGGGAGAATTCAGCACACAGAGCACACGTCGTCTCATTTATGAGATTTTTACTCGTTCGCCTTCTCGATAACGTTCTCTCTTTGATACTTTTTGAAAATTTAAACATTTTTCTTTTCAATTTATTACCGTATTCATATTATATATTACAATCCAAGCGATTCAAAAAATAAGTATTTGAAAAATCGAAAAAAAATTTTTCTTTAGAAATTCTGTTTAGATGAGATGTTTTTTTTTTTTTTTTTTTCCTTTTTTTTTCTCGACAGTAAGGGTAAAAATGTAGGTTGAAAGCGATGAGTATCATTTGGGGGTACTCACTTTGTCGTGACCTATCCTCTGATAGTAGTATTTGGCATACTCGTCCAGCCACACTTCACTCAGTCTTATACTGTTCCTCTTGAGCACGTTCACGCCACTACGCCACTTGTACGGTGAACGCTTTCTGAAGATGTGACCTACGTGCGAGCAAGGCAAGATCTCTAGAGTACCTAAAACCCATAAGAAAAACAAGATTGTAAAATCTTTTTTTTTTTTTTTTTTTTTTTTTTTTTTTTTTTTTTTTTTTATTTCGTCCAATTAGATAAAAAAAAATTACCTCCACACATCCAGGTTTTGAATGATAATTCTAAATTTTCACCACCCCAAATATCAAATCCACTATCGTATGTGCCTAGTCTTTCAAAAAATTTCTTATCTATTGCAAATAAGCCACCTGCCATTGTCGGTGACCAAACAGGTTCCGCTGAATTTTTATGCCTCTTTTTCTCACGTTCTGGTATTGCGTGCCAGTTAAACTACAAAAAAAAGGAAATTAAAATTAGAACAGTAATCTAAAGTTAGAAAATTGTTAATTATTTTACAAAATTATTTTCTAAATTATTATTATTAAATTGTTTTGACAAAAATTATTTTCTAAAAAAAATTGTTTTTAACAAAATTGATATAGTTTTGGAAATTAATTTACCTGAAGATTCCAATCAAATCCACCAACATTAACACCACCGGAATCTCTCCAGTGGTACTCCAAAGTGGTATCATCAATAACGTCAATAACTGGACAAACCACAGTTGTAGGATCACGTGCAATTCTGTCCAAAAGCGGTTCCAACCAACCTTCTGTACATTCACAGTGACTATCCAAGTACGTCAAAACTGATGCATTTGCCTTTTTAGCTCCCAATAGTCGAGCTCTAATTAAACCCTCACGCTTCTCAGCTCTAACTATTTTCACTTTTGGATAATTCATCATGTAATCTTCAAGTTGTCTCTTTAGATGTGCTGCAAAATGAAAATCAAAAATTTTAGCAAAAAATTTTTTCCACTTTTTTTTTCATTAAAAAAAACAAATTTGGTTACATAAAAATAATTTAGATTCAAAGAATTATTTATCCTATTATTAAATAAAATAGTTATAAATAATTTTTATTTGCAAATATAAACTGACAATTTTTGTATTTGAAACAAATAGAATATAATTATTATTTAATTAAATAATAATTATTTAATAATAATTATTTAATAATAATTATTTAATAAAAAATAAAAATTTATTTATTCAGTATTATATTAAAAAATAATTAATAAATAAAATAAATTTCTCGTAAATTCTTAAATAAAAATTTATAATTAAAAAAAAAATAATAATTTAATTATTATTTCTTAATATAGCTGAATTTTTAAATTACAGTTTCATGTAATAATAATTTTTGTTTGAATTTTAATTCTCGTCGATTGACTACGCAAGAATAAGTAGTAGAGATAAAGCTTCCGTCAGACAGATGAATTTATTAGTTTTTATATTATTTACCATCTTTCTCTCTCTCTCTCGTTGAGGAACTATATAACGTGAAATACATTAAAAATATTATTACAGATAAAATACTATTTAAGTGTCTGTGCATTTACATAAAAAAAAAAAATTTTATCGTTGAATGTACATTGTACTCAAATTCATTACACTAAAATAAAAAATCAAATCGATTCAATTATCAAAAAATTTTAAATCATAAATTTTTTATTTAATTAATTATTTAATAATTTAAATTATTGTAAACATATTTTTAATTAAATAAATTAAAAAATTTTAATTTGTGCAAAAAACCTAATAAATTATATTAAAAGCAGTGAATATAAAAAAGCAACTCTACTAAATGAAAGTAACGCAATAAAATTTATAAATCTGACTATCGTTCTACCTTTACTACTCATACACTCTCTCACAGCAAAATCGGCTTATGCAAGAGAAATATTATCAGAATTCAAATAGTTATATTAAAATGTGAAAAACTTTTTTTTTTTTTATTCACTCCTTTTTTCACATATAATTTAAAAAGTAAAATTCCTGTAAAAAAATGGATAAATTTTTTCTTTTTATTATTTAAAAAAAAAAAAATCTTATTTAATTAAAAAAGGGGAACGAATTTTTTTTTTTTGCAATAAAAGAAAAAAAAAGCAATAAAAATTGTGAAATTGACCGAAACTAACGATAATTCAAATGGCAATTAACAGATCAACATAAATTACTTGTATAGGAGACAGGTTTATGTATAGATCCGAACTCTAATCCTGAGTCGCCGTTAAAGGTTTAGGAAACGATCGACTGCACAAAGGATAGCTTAGCTCATTTGTCTATTTATTTAATTCTTTTACATTAATATTTTTAGCTAAAAAAAAAAAACAAATTTTTAATATTTTCAATATTCTCTTTCAATTTTTATATAAATAAACTAAACCACAGGAAATCAAAAAATTTTCAATTGACAAAATGTCAATTAATTCTAATTAAATATTTCCGCTTTTAAATAATTAAAAAAAAAGAGAAAATCAAATACGAGAGAAGTTTTCTTTTTTTTTTTTTGGGGTATAGATAGGTGGATTTAAATAGAAGAATGCTATTATACGTTCTATTCGACCATTAAAATCTGTCCCTTTTATTTCAGATTCGGCTGAGTCTCCGGGATTTAATTAAAAAGCATATAGACCATTCTCACGTCCATCCAATTACGCTCACCTAATTAATTCCATTTTGTTCTTCATACACTTTCAAGCGAGCACAATAATATATAGGGGAAATACATATATACATATTTCTAAGGGTATAAGGAGAAATATACATATATTCGCATTTGGACATTGAGAAAGTGAATAATATTTAAAAAAAAAAAAAAAAAAGTGATGAAAAAGATGACGGAACAAAATGAATGGAAAAAAGGAGATTAATTTGCATGCAATCAACACGATAAAATGAAATTCCAAATGGTAAAAAGAATTTCTCAGGGTTTTTTTTTTTCAATTTAAGGAAAAATTAAAGAAAGATATTTCGTTATACAAAACGGAAAGAGAGAGAAAAAAAAGAAGAATTTTTAAAAATAAATTCTATTTAATTAATGTCTTGGAGTTAATGTATGAATTAACAACGTTAAAGCAAAATTCACCAAAAATAAAATAATTTGAGAATTTAACAAAAAGCATTTATAATTATTAATTTCTATTTGTTTTTTTATTTTTTATTTATCATTTTAATTATTTTATTTATTATTTTATTTATTATATATTTTTTTTCGATTATTGTACTATATTTTTTTGTTCATATACACTGAAAAAAAAAATTATTTGATTCAAATAATCAACTTGACTATTATCAAATAAATATTTACTTAAACCAACTAATTTTTATTTAAATTAGATAAACTGTATTTGGAGCAATAATTTCTGTATTTGAAACAACCACCATTTAAAAAATAATAATAATAATAATAATAATAATAAAATAATAAATACAAAATAAATTATTATATTATTAATTATTAATAAATATTTCTTTGATAATAGTCAAGTAACCGATTATTTGAATCAAGTAATCAACTTGACTATTATCAAATAAATAGTTACTTAAACCAACTAATTTTTATTTAAATTAGATAAACTATATTTGGAGCAATAATTTCTGTATTTGAAACAACCACCATTTAAATTATAATAATAATAATAATAATAATAATAATAATAATAATAATAATAATAATAATAATAATAAAATAATGAATACAAAATAAATTATTATATTATTAATTATTAATTATTATTATTATTATTATTAATTAATTAATTTATTATTAATAAAATATTTCTTTGATAATAGTCAAGTAACCGATTATTTGAATCAAATAATTTTTTTTCAGTGGTAAAAAAATGAATGTTACTAAAATTTTTTTTTTTTTTTGTATTTTTTTGTAAAAATGAAATTGAAATTTTGTCTGAAATTTAAATTTAAATTGTAAATGAAAAAAAAATGTTACTTACGCATATCTGAAAAATCGTCAACTAAAATTATTTCCTTAATAAGATGATCGGGTGATCGATCAAGAACAGAGTGCACAGTTCTCAGCAAAACTGACCAAGCTTCATTGTGGAAACATATAACAACAGCTGTTGATGGAAGCTCTTTTCGATATCTACCGGGTTCCTTGCACCTAAAACAAAAAAAATTAAAATATTTTAATTTACATGTAAATAAATAAAGCGAAAAAAATAAATAAATTTGATTAATATAAGAAATAATGAATAATAAAAAATAATAATAAATAATAATAAATAAATAATAAATAAATAATAAATAAATAAAGAAATAAATAAATTAAATTAATAAATAAATTTAATAAAATAAATTTTTTTTTTAAAATAGATATTTAAAATTAGAAATTACTTTAAAAAAAAAAGAGAGATGTCAATTTTCTGCTAACATAATTTGTAAATTAAATTCAACTCCACGTGTGGAATATAGCCAAGAAATTTTTCTTATCGAAAATTTTTTCGATCCAGACGTTCATAATATTATCGCATCCGTATTTTCTCGTTTTCATAGATATTCGACTTGGCCTCTTTCTTTTCATACGATAATATCCACGATATATCAAAATTTTTATTGTCGGGATACTTAGATGCGGGGAATTTATGTGAAAACGCGTACAATAATATATATAGTAAACGAATTTAAAAAAGAAAATGCATTTAAAAAGTGCAAGAAAAATATTACGAGAAAATTGACCATAGACCATTAATTTTTTTTTAAAATAAATCAAAAAATATTTCTTTTTAAATACGATTTACTGCAATAATTTCTTTTATAAAATATTTTTCAAAATAAAATAGAAATTTTATTTTGAGAAATATTAATTTTTGGTTAAAAAAAAAAGAAAAAGAAAAAGGTGTACATATATCTAAGAAAAGTGAGGATCTATACATGTCGAAAAGTCTCACGGGGACTTGGCAAACGAGGAACATGTTGTCGGCTGGGTTGGACAGAAATTCCATATGCATCACATAAATTCCCAAGAGGAATAGGCAATAGCACCCCTGCTTTGTATATATACCCATAACGATCTTCAGGCACTAACACCAAACACCTATAGCTCTGCTAGCAGAGCGAAACGTTGCAATCTCATTCATATTCGACCTCCTTTATTGACTTTGCTGACGTCACACATATCTTTGAACCATAAAATTTTCAAAACTTCAGATTCAAAATAATTTCATTTTTTTTTCTTCTTAAAAACAAAAATTTTACCTTTTTTTTTTAGAAAAAAAAAATTATTTCCAACTTGATATTTAAATATAAATATAATTTATTAAGCTTCAGCCTTTTGGCCCAAAAGTGGACTTGATCCAACTTGATATTTATAAATAATCCATTTTTTATATTAATATTTGCAAAAATAATTGAGATTCCTGATGAATAATAATATTTTCGTATATATATATAACTTAATTAAAAATTGATGAACGATTAATTTCAATAAACTGAAAATAAATCATTGTAGAATAATAATGTTTTGCATATGTATAACTTAATTAAAAACCGATTAATCATTAGTTTCAAAAATAAAGATATTAAAATATCTTAATTATTCCAAAAATCACTAATTAGAATTTTTAATTTCAAAAGAATTTTATTAATAATTTTTTTTTTTTTTTTTAAATTTTCATTTTTCAAATTATTGATTTGATTCGAATTTTTAAATGACAGAAATTTTCAAATCGCAGAATTTTAATTTGTCCGAATTTTTAATTAATAGAATTTAAAATGAAATGATTTTTTAATTTATCTGAATTTTTATTTCTACGAATTTTAAGACACCGAATTTTTTTATTTGTCCGAATTTTTAATTAATAGAATTTAAAACGAAATGAATTTTAATTTATCCGAATTTTTATTTCTACGAATTTTAAGACACCGAATTTTTTTATTTGTCCGAATTTTTAATTAATAGAATTTAAAACGAAATGAATTTTAATTTATCCGAATTTTTATTTCTACGAATTTTAAGACACCGAATTTTTTTATTTGTCCGAATTTTTAATTAATAGAATTTTAAGACGTCCGAAATTACAAATGTTCGGACAGAAATATTTTGGCGCTTTTTTTTAAATTATTGACCAATTATAGAAATTATCAGAGAAAATCGTGATTGGTCAATTTAAAAAAAAAATGCTCCAAAATCTTTTTATCGATTGTAAGTTTGGAAGCGACTGAAAATTTAGTGTCTTAATATTCTATTAAATTAAAAATACGAACAAATTAAAATTCGGTGCCTTATATAATTCTATTAATTTAAAAATTCAAACAAATTAAAATTCGGTGCCTTATACAATTCTATTAATTTAAATATTCGGACAAATTAAAATTTGATGCCTTATAATTCTATTAATTCAAAAATTCAGACAAATTGAAATTTCTGTCAAAAATTCGGACAAATAAAAATTCGGTGCCTTATATAATTTTATTAATTTATTATTATGACAAATTAAAATTTGATGCCTTAAAATTCTATCAATTAAAAATTCGGACAAATTAAAATTCGGTGCCTTATATAATTTTATTAATTTATTATTCGGACAAATTAAATTTCGATGCCTTAAAATTCTATCAATTAAAAATTCGGACAAATTAAAATTCGATGCCTTAAAATTCTGTTAGTTTAAAAATTCGGACAAATTAAAATTCGGTGCCTTATATAATTCTATTAATTTAAATATTCGGACAAATTAAATTTTGATGCCTTAAAATTCTATTAATTTAAAAATTCGGACAAATTGAAATTTCTGTCAAAAATTCCGTGCCTTAAAATTCTATTAATTTAAAAATTCGGACAAATTAAAATTCGATGCCTTAAAATTCTATTAATTTAAAAATTCGGACAAATTAAAATTTGATGCCCTAAAATTCTATTAATTTAAAAATTCGGACAAATTAAAATTCGATGCCTTAAAATTCTATTAATTTAAAAATTCGGACAAATTGAAATTTCTGTCAAAAATTCGGACAAATTAAAATTCGGTGCCTTAAAATTCTATTAATTTAAAAATTAGGACAAATTAAAATTCAGTGAATTGAAAGTTCTGTCATTTAAAAAATTCGAATTAGATAAAATTCGAATTTGTTAAATAAAAATTCGTAATTCAGAAAATCTATTAAATATTAATTCGAAAATTCGTCGAAAAATTCATTATTTTTAATAAAATATTTTTAAAAACAAAAAAATTCGAATTTATTATTCTTATGGGAAATTCATGCACCCCATTATAATCGGTTATTATTATCAAATAAATTATTTGTTACAAAAATTAATATTCAATTATTTAAATATTTATTGAAATTTAAATAATAAAAAATAAAATAAAAAAAAAGGAATAAAATCAGAAAAATTTCGTTATATCAGAAAAAGTGTGAAATTTGCACATTTCGACAAGATAATACCTATGACGAGAAAATTGACAATTTGACATATAAATAAAAAAAAAAAAAAAAAAAAAAAAAAAAAAAAAAAAAAAAAAATTGAATTTCGAGACGTGTGTGAAAAAAAAGAGTAGGATATGTTCTCTTTAAAGTCGCTATTAGTTGCGGTTTTGTGAAAAAGAGTGCAATATCGTGGATTTCGGTTAAAAGGACAAGGAATAAAAGATTGTAAGAAGAGAGCTTTAAAGTCGTGGCAGTTGATTGGTTGGGCTTTAGACATTCTTTGAAAAAGATTGTACCCAGAGAGTTTGGAGAGTGAGAGAGAGAGAGAGAGAGAGAGAGAGAGAGAGAGAGAGAGAGAGAGAGAGAGAGAGAGAGAGAGAGAGAGAGAGAGAGAGAGAGAGAGAGAGAGAGAGAGAGAGAGAGAGAGAGAGAGAGAGAGAGAGAGAGAGAGAGAGAGAAAGACAGTTTTCCTCTCCCAATAAGAAGCCCCAGTAACTTGGCTTGATTCCAAACAAGGAGTAATACCGACTCTTCAGTAAACTGACTTTGGGATGCAGCAGTTTCACAGTGTTTAACGAGCCCCATTGTCTCGAGATGTCGATAATTATGTTGGTTTTCTCGCAGTATATATCCTTTCGTACTAATTCAAGACAGGAAATCATCATATTGTCACACTAGAGTAGAAAAATTATTTTCTTCTTTCATTTTTAAATTGTAAATAAAAAAAATTAATTTCATTCAAATAATCTAATATTTACTTGGATCAAATAATTTTTACTTTTAAATAAATATATTTACTTCAAGTAAATATTTATTAGAATAATAAACGATTATTATTTTTATTTCAGTATTGTATCTAATTTTTTTTTCTCCTTTTTTGAAATTGTAAATAAAAAAAATTAATTTCATTCAAATAATCTAATATTTACTTGGATCAAATAATTTTTATTTTGAAATAAATATATTTACTTATTTATTTGAATAATAAACGATTATTATTTTTATTTCAGTATTCTATCTAATTTTTTTTCTCCTTTTTTGAAATTGTAAATAAAAAAAAAATTGTAGGTATATATCTATTTTTTTTTCAAAGTTAATTGATCCATATGCGGCATATATGTATATATATGTTTGTAGAAATGTTGATATAGCGAAATTTCGGATCAAAGTTATATGATTAAACTTTGAATTAACTTAGTAATGAAGCAAAACTCAATGAAGATATACGATGATGGCAAAATGTTTTTTTTTTTAATTTAAAAAAAATAAGCTAAGATAATATTTGTGAAAAAAATTGAAAAATATTTAACAAGCAAAAAAAAATATTATAATTAAATCAATTATTTTACAATGAAAAAATTTATTTAAAATAAAATTTATTTAAAATAAAATTTATTTATAAATATTTCTTTAAAAAAATCCTCAACTTTAAAAAATTAGCATAAAAAATAAAAAATTGACTAATTATCAATAAAGGATACAATTTAGTTGTTTTTTTCCTTTAAAACAAATTAAAAGAGTGTTTCATGGAAAGAAATTAATTGGTCTAGCACACACACACACACATACCGTTATTAGTAGATTCTCTTGAAATTACCCGCGATGCTTCAAGCGCACAATGATTAATGTCTCGGCATTGCCAACTTTCTCGCACTGAAGATTAATACCAGAAATGGTAGACAAGCGGAGGAAACTAGAAAGGAAAATTTTAAAGCCACGCGGCGATAGTTTGTC